GTGGGTTTACTGGGTATGGGGGATCACAAAGAGTAAATGAATTTGCGCGGCGAAAAAAGCACTTTAAGGCATGACACCGACAGTCTTCACAGCCATTGATTCTTGGTATTCCCAGGACCCTAACCAGGTAGTCTATACTTCCCTATGTGGTTAGCCCAAACCACCCGTCAAAGACATCATGAAATGATGAAACGTTTCGGTTGAAACACCCCTAATCTTTTTCCAACCTAATCCTATGTCAGATAATATCGCCCATGGTAGCTCAGCACGGCCAACACGCGTGTTCTAGATATCTCAATCAACGTAGCTTTGCAACCTGATCGATTGTCTTACTCTTCTGACGCCTAATGTCAATATCGATCACCATATTAGGCTGCTTAAAAGCGGAGACAGAACACGAATATCTGTGGTCAAAGACAGCTAGCCTTTTTATACCTTAGCTTCCACATACACGATAGAAATGGGGTGGAAATGCACTTCATTCTTATTATCAATTAAAGTTTAACTAACCATCACATCATAACAAAATACAACTTTGTGAGCCACCAAAAAGCTTGGACTAATTTTATTTAACGAAAAAAACAGACATACATATTTCACATTTAAATGTGAAATGGCTGATTTAATTATGTATTACAGTGAGACACTAATGAATTCCTAAATATCTGCCCACGCAGTGTCTATGTACTGATATATAAACCACTGAGCTGCCTGCATAATGCATGAATTCAAGTTTACATTTTTACACTGTCAACATTAATGTAATCAGTATCTTCAGTTTTTTAACCACAAATAACAGCTAAGACTTATATTTCCTATTTAGAATAAGCATTTCTGTGAACATACTAAAAACATGATGAAGAGGAGGCATAAATGCACCTCCTCTGCATCAGGGTTGATCTCTAGTCAGTCATCTGACCCCAACGTCAAGTCCCAGTTGTGGCCTCAGCCCTAGTCAGTCCAACATCCCAATTTATCCCTTCTTATACCAATTGACAGACTGAGTTTTCAACATAGAACTTTGCACAGAATTACAGCAGTTAGAGTTGATGCACTCTATTTAGTACATCAGGACAGAGAAAAAATAAGCAAAGGAACCACAGTATGTACGGAAGAAAGAATAGTTACATGGGAGTCGTTAGGATTTTATTAGAGAGGTAATTAAAGCACCGATCTTCTCAGAAATCTTTTTACAACTCGTTTCCCTAATCAATCTGATGTTGTTACCCACCACCCACCTTTTGTCGACCAACACTGTTCATAGTCGTTGGGCTAACTTTAAATTATCTTGCATTTGAACAGCCTTCGTTCCTCATCGTGTTCGGAGTCCATTGAAATCAGTCTCTCCTTATGTTTGAAGTTACCGTTGATGAAGAGGAGATGATTATCTGAAGAAAGTTGTAAAAGTTTGCTGACACTCATAAGCTGAAATCTGGAGATTCACCGTGTTGACCAGATCGGGTTAAGTGTATGTCTCAAAAACGCAACATACATCCATGGCAGCGTGGTTTTAAGAGACTACCAACTGAATTTCTTTGGGTGTATTCGCTATTAACAGTCAAAGAGTTATGAGAATGTTATGGACTTATCTGAGGAATAGTATTAACAGTCCCAGGAAAGCAAGAATTACTTCTGCGTGACTGCAGAGTTCAAGGGAGATTTACCTGAGTCCCGCAACACACGACCTACTTGAGTAAGTTTTGCACTTGCATCCGTATGAAGATCGTTTTCTAGGCTGCGGTTCGCCGCAAGGTAAGTCGACATGTACAATTTTTGCAGTCGACTTTTTCTAACCCTCTCTCCTCAATCTCAGGGTGAAGTGGCAACATAGCTGATTTGCTGGTCATCCAACAGAAACACCATACTGATGTCACATTATTATCAGCCAGAAGAACAATTTCGCCTTCACAGCCCAAATAAACTGTGAGCGACTTAAAATTTACATGATGGTAAATGCTTTTAGTCTAATCGCCATCCAGACGACCTTTCTAGCCTGGTGGGACCTGCACGAACATTCGTTCAATCCAGTATAGGCTGTTGGGTCATAGTGACTACCATGTCAAGGTAGCCACTACCGGTAAATACACTAACATCACATCGAGGTCTTTATCGGTAAGTTCTCAAGAAACCTGTAAGGCTAATGTTTAACATAGTAAATACCAAAATCTACCTAGACACACTAAAAAGGAATACAATATCCGAATAATTGACGTCAACTAACATCATCTAAGAAGTGGTGGATAGACGTTTTGTGAGTTTGACACTATCCGAAGATGCTTCAAAATCGAAGGTGGAACCATTAAGGTTAAAATTATAGGTCAGAAACTGATCAGAATTCAGTAACCCATGACTTCAAATTTGTGTATATATCAACATTTCCAACAGAGATTCTACAATACAAAACTTAAAATATACTTTATTAACTGAGCAAAAATATATTTAATACTGTCGCCCACAGGCTTTAAAAATCGTATACATCAGAGATGTCTGATCAAGAAGGAATGAATGAAACATCAACTCTACAACAACAATGACACAGTTATGTGAATAACATACGTGTGAAATTAAGGAAGTAAATATTTAAAGACCATATTGATAGGTAAAAAAAGTTCGTATGCATTAGTATTACACCTACGTCCGCCGACAAACAGTGATACTATCCCCCAAAAAATATTGAAAGAATAGTTCATAATTCCGTAAACTGATGCCCGTTTTATTATAATAATAACCACTGATACAATGGCGATGCTTAACTAATAACAAGGCTGATCATTGATTGATTGGCATCAGTCAGAGAACCACTGGAAACAAGGAAAAAAAACATTAGACAGATGTCTCGTCCTTGTTCTGGGATTCTTCATCTGTATATATATCTCTGGTCTCTAGATTAACTAAGCTACTAGGCAAAGTCTGGGAATCAGAGACAGTGCAATCAGACTGGGGTAAGTCACTTATTATACCGATATTCAAGAAGGGGAACAAGTCCTCGTGTGATAATCATAGGGGGATCAGCCTAACGAACATAGTCTCTAAAATCCTAGGCTCAGTAATCATGCATAGACTAAGCAGAACTCGGGAGGAACAGACAAGGGAAAATCAAGCAGGCTTTAGACCAGCTAGAGGGTGCATAGATCATATCTTCACTCTTCGACAGATTCTAGAACATAGACACACTTTTCGACGTCCAACAATTGTCATATTTCTTGACTTGAAGGCGGCCTTCGACTCCGTGGATCGAAAGGTACTATGGCAATGTTTGACTGTGAAGGGAGTGCCAAGAAAGTACATTGCACTAATCAAGGCACTCTATTCAAACTCATGTCGTCGTGTAAGGGCTTATGGGGAATTGTCGTCTGAATTGATAACAACCAGTGGTGTCCGACAGGGATGTCCACTTTCCCCATTTCTGTTTAACTTCATCATAGAAATGCTAATGGAAGTATCCTTAACTGAACGTAACGACTTAGGAATCGACTTGTTACCAGGGAAATAGTCTTATGGACTTAGAATATGCAGATGACATATTCCTGTTAGGGGAGGATTCTGACAAAATCCACCAGTCTTCTGAACACCTTGAGCAGGAATCTCCGTATGTTTGGCATGCGATTTGCCTGCTCCTGTCAAATGTAAGATGCTGATACAGGACTGGACCACGTCAACTCCTAGCTTAGTGATAGGGAATGAAGTGATAGAACATGTTGGCCACTTCACCTATTTGGGAAGTTGTATCAGCATCAACGGACTGATTGGCGACGAAATCTCACCACGGATCCGAAAAGCTCGAGCTGCTTTCGCTAACTTACACCATCTCTGGCGTAGGCGTGTCATCCGGCTGGCTATCAACCAAAGGACGTGTGTACTGCTCATCAGTTCGCTCCGTCCTTCTCTATGGCTCTGAAACATGGCCAATACGAGTTGAAGACATGAAAAGGTTGACTGCTTTCGATCATAGATGTCTGAGATCTCTGTCTCACGTTAGGTGGTATAATAAGGTGTAGGTAATGTTGATGTTAGGCTTAGAATGTTGGGCAAAGAGGGAAAGTCAATCGATGAGGCTATAAAGTTACACAGATTGAGATGGCTAGGTCGGTCACGTGATGCGCATGCCTAACCATCGCCTCCCCCACCCCGACGGGCATTACTAACTAGCTGATATAGATGGTGCAGGTTGGAAAAGAGTAAGTGGTGGCCAAACAAAAACATCGCGTCAATCCATGAAATCCTTGACAGTTAAACTGAGTAAGGTAGGGAGATGCAGACTTCCGGGTTGGGGCCCTCGGGACTCTAGGAATCAATGGCTGGAGACAATAGGTGACATGGCTCAAACTCATCGTTGTCAATGGCCAGCGCAGATGTATTCAGTCTCTGTAATCTTTCATATTTCTTTCTACCACTACCCATTCTGTTTCGCTCTTATACTTGTCAAACTCTATTGATTCTCTTCACTCATCTTCTTGTCTACCTTTGTGTGCCTATTTGGAACGTGGCAAGTGGAACTCCTGCACTTCGGTGCCAAGTTCTATGTTGAATCCAGACCAGACAGTACATATCCATGGACCCGATCCCCTAAACAGTGATCGAACCCCGGAACATTCTGGTTATACGGCGGGTCACTAGCCAATCTATCAATTCTCATATCCGCCAATTGGCTCAACTACTACTAATTGTCGGGTGAAAAGTGATTCATTCAACTGGTAGAGAGTTCTAAAACCTATTTAATTAAATGAAGGCAGTAAAAAAACGGTATAATTGACATGAGAAACTAATTAACAAGAGAAAGTATGCATGCTGACATTTTACAACACCATAATGAGTTTATGTAAAAACAAACACATACACCCACACACGGGAACCCAAATCACAATTTAATGCCGGTGAGAAATAGAAACAGAGTAAAACTTAGAAAGAGATCGATCTATGACAACACAAAGAAAAGTTATGCCTACAGAAGACGACATAACAACATTTCAAACAGATTGCAACGGAAATTTCAAACTCACTTTGCTAGTCATATCTTTTGAATAGCCTTTCGGTCTAAAAAATAATTAATTAAGGAAGACATGAGTTGGACAGTGAGAGAAACTGGTAAAACAAGAATTTAAAAATCTCTATCATTTAAAAAATTATGAGAAAGTGTATGTATAATGAATGACAATCATAAAAACTTTTTTATTATTTGAAGCCGAAACGAAGCCGTAAAGAATATATATATATATATATATATATATATATACATTGTTTTCTGATATATGCAGGTGTAGACCAAAGACATACGACGAAGAGATACAAAAAGTGAATAAATTACACTTGAGAATATGCTGCCCGCATCTTATATATGTCAAGTAGTATGGAATTTTAAAAGACTGAGTTTAGTGAACAAAGGAAAATATTCTTTTCGATACTTTCATCTTCAGATTCTACAACAGATTTATCCATCCAAAATAGTCAAAGACTTATTATTGTTATTATCACAACATAAATGTTTTTTGTAGATCATAAAAACACTCAGTAAGATTCATAGATTACAGTTCGAAAGCAACTGGAAGTGATAATATGCATAAATATAACACTAAAATGCATACCAGATAAAATGAGAATTTTTTTGATGTGGTTGTGTTCTCTGAGCTGGATGGTTGATTTGCGAAGCTTTCATCACCCTACTAGGTGACATCTTCAGCGCATACTTTAAATTGAATTGATGTGAGCTTTCAGATTTCTCCACGAGTTTATTAATCATCTCTCCTGGTCGGTGACCTTGGATGTGATTGGTTGTTTTTGTGTGTTTTCACACCTAGGTTACGTGAATTGAAATTGATTGTTTCTTTGACTTGAACTTTGACCCTTTGTATGTGAAGTTTATTTCTTATCGGTTGATAAAATTTGTCTATCTCGATGTGTCTATTGATTGATGATTCACTGGAATACCAGGCAGGCTTCTAAAAATTCTCTAGCATTCTTGGTGTTTCCCCTGTCTAGTGTTTGAACGTTGTCCCAGTCTAATTGATGTCGGTGGTTGTCTGTATGTAGTGACACTAGCGAGCGATTGGATATCATGTCTTTTGACAGCTAGCTTATGTTCGTGAATATGAAGACGAAGGGGACGTTGTCCACTTTGGCCAGTGTATTGTTTTTCGTAGTTGTTACAATTTCTTTTGTAGATGATGTTGGTTTTATCTCCGTTTGCTGTTGAGTCTTTTGGCTGACATCGAATTGAGTGAAGTGACTTTGTTGGTTTGTGTACGATGTCAATTCCTAAAGGTTTGAAGAGTCTTGTAGTGATTTCTGAGATATCTTTTATATATGGTAAGGCTATTTTCTTTGTGCTTTCCTTGGTGGCTTTTGGTTTGGTAGGTTGGCTTGGGGTATATGTCTCTTGATAAGATTCCGTGGATATCCATTGTTTTGGAAGACGTCCATGAGATACTTTTCTTCAATTTTCCTTAAGGTGGGAGTGCTGCAGTGAGTCCTTGCTCTCTTGAATAGTGTTCGTATGCAATTCCTTTTGTGTGTTATTGGGTTGTCGCTGTTGTAATTCAGGATTTGGTCTGTATGAGTTGATTTCCTATAAACTCGAGTGGTTGTTCGCTTGACTAAAACGTCCAAAAATGGGATTTGATTCTCGGATTCTTTCTCTCTTGTGAATTTGATGTCGTTGAAGACATCGTTTATTAAGTTGTGAGTTTTGTCTAACTCGTTTCTTTTGATTATTACAAATGTGTCGTCGATGTAGCGTATCCAAATCTTGGGTTTATTATATATATATATATATATATATATATATATATATATATATATATATATGCATGTAGTATTTATATTAGTACAGCAGCCAGCCAGGACAGTAATATGGCTCGACCAGTTGCCATAACACTTAGAGCTAGGGTATTGTAATCATCAAATTATACTCATATCTGCACTTTGGAGAATTCGGTATTCAGAAGCTTTCCGCAATTTATCTAATATCCGATAGATGACGGAAAAGATTCTTCACTGCCAGCCTGACGATATGTTTAGACAGAGTGTTCCCGAACCAAACTGTTGAAACTTTTTCTTACACTTTCATTTAACCATACTGCAAGGTACTTCAAGAGCACGAAAAAACCTTGTTCCTAAAGTAACGTCTAGCATAACTCTCCTCACAGTAGCAACTGAACTGATAAAAACGACTAGAGATGACTAGTCTATGTACTTCATCTTTCAGTTTTCCAATAACGACCAGTCCGCTGAAAAATATCACTGTCAAGATTTTACAAAACTGTCCAGTGTTCTCATAGTTTTCTGTGTGTTCTGCTTTATGCCCCAGTCCTAATCCCCAATGAGACAAATTTAACTGGTGCTTATTGTATTATATTGTTAAGTCAGTCCATAAGAATCAAGAATTCAGTCTCTCTGGTCTAGAGTCTTGCCTAGTAATTACTCGGTTATGTTTGAACAATTCGGTGTCCGGCTTCATCTTGTATATTGGAATTCTGTCGCATAATTGTCTAAGTATGTCACTCAGCCTTATGATGACAGTGGCTAGCCAGAACAGATGTAGTATTTTATCTTTTTACCTGGTGTTCGTCTAATATGTTTAGGAAAAATGACATCATAATATATACATCTAAATAGTGATTGAGGAAAAATTTATCTTCGCTTTGGCGGCTCATTGTTGTCAGTCAGCCACATTGATGATGACGACCATGGGTGAAATATAAATAGACTGTTTCCAGTTGCTGCTAATTCATCCAGATACGCACTTAACTAGACCTGGTACAGACATGGTTACAACTGACAACACTATTTAGACAAAACAAGGAAAGATGTCCAACAACTAGATATTTTCCATGCTGCATACAGTTTTAACGTGTCTATTGTGTCTATACAGAAATTTACTTGGTTTCAAATTCTGAATTTGAAATATGCGATCTGTAATTTGGGCATTTTGACATACTGTCATCTTAAATGCTACATAGATGTTCTCTCACAAGTTCTTATTAAAACAGGATGAAAAAGTTGGTGAATTTGGAGATCAATACAAACTTGCAAATTTTTATTCGGAGGAAATTCTTGTTGAACCCATAGCATTCTATATGCTTTATCCTTAGTTTAAATGCTTTCAATTATCCTACAAATAACTTTTGTGTGTGGTTAACATGAGTGAGATGGGATCACACATTCGTATCAATTATCCGAAGTCCAGACCCAGAAAACTTAATAGTAGCATACGGCTTATGCACCCATAGAGGACTATTGAATACGTCAAGAAGACTTGTTCAAAAGTCAGGTATGTCACTTTTAACTTAAATTGAATTTATATTGTAGCATAAAAATTTTTATGCAGGATTATATAGGACAAGAGTGAACAATGGACACGAAAGTCAAATTACCCTGACTTAACCAATCAGATTCTTCTAGGTAAAAAGTGGTACTTAATTTACAAAGAAGTGTACCTACAATACATATGTAATTAAAATGAATCATATAGGGTATATATCTCTAATACGCTGCAAAAACTGGTCCCAGATTCTCATCAGAAGTGGTTACAGACACATCAAACCAATTTATTCTCTGTTTTTCAAGTATTGGTTTGTAGGGATTTGATTGGTTTCAGGATTTCATCATGAGCTGACATTAGTTAGAGAACTATTGGAAAACCTGGGAGTACTGGACAGCTGTTTCGTCCTAGTTTGGGACTTTTCGAATCCCAGTGGGTGCGCACTGATGAAGAGTCTCAAACTAGGACGAAACAGCTGTCCATTATTCTCTGTTTCTCCATCTGTAGCAGATACTGGTTGCATATACGCAATATAGCGTGTGTGTCGGTGGCATAGCGGTTAAGACGCTGGCTGACCATGCACATGGTTTGCGGTTCGATCCCCGGCCGACGCACACCTGATACCAGTGGTCGGCCTGCTAAATTTGGGCTACCAATATCACATGCTGGAAATTCCATGCTTGTATCAAAAATACTATGTGGAGTCAAGCTACAATATAAAAAATAATAATGGGATGAATAAATATAACGTGGTTATAATCAACACTGCAGCTTCGTCTCATAGTGTAAAATAACTTCGAAAAATTTCGGATGGTATGGACACTCAATTGCATATTTGCTTCATTCAATTAAAGAGTTCCTCAACAGTGTGTAGGCAATTAACCATTTCACTCTACTGTTTTTTGTCGTTGAGGCAATAGGCTTGATTCAGAGAAATTTCTATTTATGTAGTAGTGATTTAGAAATTGAGGTGAACAATAATCATTCCTGTCGTTTCTAGGCCTTCCGTTCCCTCTTTCTTTTCCCACTTGCTCATATGCTAACAAATGACCTAATCAATAATTAGATATGGAAAATTATTCGCCGATATAGTAATTGTGTATGTGTATGAATAGTGTTCGATAGGCATATACATACTACATAAAATGAACTTATTTTCTCTTCCTTTGTATGCATATATATATATATATATATATATATATATATATATATATATATATATTTCATTTGCCTGGTTGTTGTGTTGCGAAACCAACACTATTAAAATTCAATTAACGATGTAGGCGGCAGCTGTCAGTCAGTAGTATTTGGCTATGATTTATCTTTCGAAATATAGATATACTATGTTTACAAAACTATAAGGATCTCCTCCTCCCATTAGGAGGTGATAAAAGTTGATGATGAAAGTAAAAGTGCATATTTCTCACCGTTTATTTTCTTTACCACTACATTCAAAGGGATTATGAGGCAGGCCAGGATAAAAACGGTCTCCTGATAGTATCTGGTGGTTTGATTATACTCCCATACACCTAGAGCTGACGTATCATCATAGCCTAGTCTTCTTCACGAATATATATATATATATATATATATATATGACTCAATAGTCGACAACTTTTGTGGTGAGAGCAGACTGCTAGCCAATTGGTAGACGTTAATTTACGTCAATGTCTAGATCACTAATATGGGCCGTGAGAAAATATGAACAAAACTGATTCAACAACCAATCACAGCAGACTTAACGTGGGCAAATAAGATTCGCAGAAATATGGCTCCA